AGAAAACATTACAGATGTTTACGAATCATAAAAAAATGTATCTACTGAAAGCATCTAATAGGGCATAAAATAACCTAGAAGGACGGTTGATGAATATTTTAATATTTTTTACTAAATAATTATAGACGTCATTGCCAACAATAGTGTAACGCACCACACGCAGTAACGCACCACAACACCTATATTTTTTACTAAACCTGGCTAAAAGAAGTAATTGTTTAAAAATTATCACATTTTAATTACTCATGTTTAAAATTAGTTACATCGAAAAGCAAATACTTTCCCGAATGTTCCGAAATGCGAATATTCCCTGATCAAATACGCAATCCACTCTACACCGAAAAAGACTCATCCAACACATCGAAGGTAAGGAGCTCTGCAAGTCAATAAAAATAGGTTGTTTCACGCTCATCTCCAATCCGCACACACACTTAGCAATTGCACCTATTCCAGAGGCAGTTGCACTGTACACAAGTTGAGAATGAAAAATGTGAAAGAATGAATGATATAAAAAGAAATGAAAGGTAATAAAGTAATTTGCTGAAAATGTAGAAATAGAAGTGCCTAATATAATCCATTGTGGTCAATTTTAGATGTCAGAAACAAAAATTTTCATTTTTAAGGTTCGGAAACTACCTGGTTTAATCATTTTGTAACCTATTTTAAGTTCCTAAAACGTTCTTCTCATGCCTAATTGTGCTTGATTTCATAATTTTGTAACCTCTTTTAGGCGTCTAAATAATCACTGTTTTTTTTGCCTGAAATTCGGATGTCTACTGATGATGTGTATAAATAATACCGAAACGATCCAATATTACTAATATTACATTACAATTTGCAATATTACATTTTTTGGAAAATTTGTTTATCGATTGCCAAAACTCAAAAATAAACCCGAGTGATAAATTACACAGTACGATAATGAAAACAGAACCGCAGAACAAAATATATGATTGTCATGTAGTTCAGTGCCCTGGTGACAACAGTGAAAGGCATTTTTCGCTATCACCTCAACTTTCTTCAGAAAACGCAATTATATCTGCGCTGGATTACGTTATTAATGTTGTCGCAATACTTATCGCATTCTGTTATTTTAGGAATATTATTGCCTATTGTTGGGAGTAGAGAGGGAAATGGGTGATAGGCACTTGGGATAGGTAAAGGGATGTTGCATTGTGAATCAAACGTGCATGAGGGTAAGTGATGGTCACCATAGCACTTTTTCTCATGTTGCTCCCGCTATTTAAGAGGCTGGTTGCATGGAACCCAGCCATCTATGCAATTTACCATACCACAGATGTGGAGGACACCTAGAAACCTACAGATAGTTACTTTTGTTTAACGAAAGTAACAGGAAACTCTAGTAAATCTAATTAAGGCGATGGAAGTGACAAAACAACAGATAACGTAGATGTCATGAAGATTTCTTTAACACGGCTACAGTAGCAGCCTTTGTCGCAGACAGAATTGAACGATCTTGTAAGAGATCTAAATCTTTCAAAGAGGCAAGCAGAATTACTTGGGTCTCGTTTTCAAGAAAACCTGCTACCTCTGAGCACTAAAACACGCTTGATCTCTCTTATTCTCAAACCGATATATTGTAATGACATAAATGTGCTGCACAGTTACGCATCGAAATGTACAGGGATGATTCACAATCGGAAAGAATGGCGCCTATTTATAGATTCCTCAAAGTCTAGCCTAAGAACGCTCACACAAAATATTGGCGTTCCTGGTGCCACTGGGATAGTAGCGAAAGGAAATAACATTATGTAGTCAGAGTGGGCTTTCAGAGAAATTTTTAATACAGGTGAAGAAAATGTGACGCCTTAATCCTTTGTTGACAAATAAAGGGTGCTGTTACCATCACTCTATATAAAATTGGGCATTATGAAGAATTTTGTAATACCAATGGCCAAAATGGGCCAATGTTGCCAATTTTTACTATCTAAAATTAATGTGATTAGTAGAGCAAAAATTAAAGAAATGTTCACTGGGCCTCAGACCTGCGACGTGAAGAAATATGTTACCATCGTACAGCTTCTGACAAATACGGAGAAGGCAGATTAGTTTGCATTGAAATGCCACAATTTCTGGGGAAACGTAATGACTGAGAATTACAGGAACTAACGGAACACATGCTGGACTGTTTCAACGCTATGGGATGCAACATGTCTCTGAGGTTACAATTCCGTCATTCCCATTTCGACCTAATTTTGGAGAAGTGAGTGACGAACATGGTGAGAGACTTCACCAAGATAGTGCTGCAATGGAAATGCGATATAAGAGATGGTAACCAAATCTTTTGACGGATTACTGCTGGACACTCCAACAATAAGAATCACCATTCATGCAGAAATGGAAACTTCCAGGAAAACCTTCTAATTTGTAAGTACATTTCAAGTTTTATTCGGCTTTCTCGTACTATTATCACTTTTTTATTTGTAATACTAACAATTAGTTACACAAATAATGTAATACAAGCAATTTTTGTAATACAAATAATTTTTCTTACTTGATCTGTCGATTAATACACTACAGATTCCGCCTGGTATTATTTTTGAGTCGTTTCTAATTTTCTTGAAAGTGGTACACGAGGCGTATCATTTCCAGAGAAAGTGCTACGTGATGGAATATTTCTGATTTCATTTTCGAAATGAGCGTATGTGATTTAGTAAAGTACACGTACATTTATCTCGCGGCAAGACACTGAGTTCAAATTTGTTGAACTGTGTTATTAATGTTTCACATTAGTTTTGTCACTAGCGTTCATAACATCCTCTTGTTTTTCATTCATTTCATATAAGCTTTACATTTTCACTTAGTGAGTCAATTAAATACGGAATGCAATGCATATCACAACAAAGTAGACAGCGTTATCAAATATTGAAGTGAAGAACAAGCTGAAGAATACGATGGCAAATTTGTCAGAGACAAAAATAAAACGTTTTGTATGTAAAACATATTTTGTTTGAAAAATGAATTTCCCTTGAACTCTTGAGCTAAAAACGAGTAATACGTTAGATTAAGTAACCTTGCAGATGCTATGTATCTTTCGACCAATTTTAAACCAAGACCAACAATACCCCTTGCATTATGGTAGTGGCAACACGAAACATATCAACTGGGTGTAGCGAGAAATATTCCGATATAGCGGGAAAGTGAAATATGGGAATATACAGTAGTGGCCGTACCGATGTGAAGAATAGTTTATTTAGTAAGATATTTTAATTTAATGTATTTAGACTTTATTCCATTACGAAGCTGTTATTGCGGTGCACGTTGATGACAAAGCGTCGCAATGAAAGAATATGATTGTGTTAATATAGTTCACATGGATGAGAAACACAACTCTTCATTCATAGACTGATGTCTTCGTACATCAACTTTTTGCACGGGATGATCAATTAATATCTATTATATTATACCCCAATAAATTTCAAAGCAAAATACTTCATTTTAGTGCATTTCTTTGCACTTCCTTATGCATCTAGTACTTTTAAAATGAAAATGAATGTCAAATAGATTAAGAAGAAATGTTCCTTGTGTGAGCAGTGACCGGTTTTAAGATTGAAACTTGGGTCACACGAGAGATAAGGTTGTTAATTTGTTATTGTTTACGCAAAATTCTCTATTTTTACATACATATTTTAGTTTTTCATAATATTATAACACCAATGATATCATAAAAAGGATCTCTCCTTTCAGTTTTCAATTATTTCACAAAAACATTTCTACTTATATATTCATTCCGTGAGGATTTTGCGGGGCTAAAAACATATTCCCGCCAAATTTCACGGCAGTATTAACGTCGGCAGTCAAAATACATAAATCACCATGTTAAATCGCAAAATTTCTACATTACAATTTATTTACAAATTAATCTTTCCAAAAGTATATTTCATTACCATACGCGAAAGTTCCCTCAAGAAGACCCTTTTCTTTAAATAAATCGTAACTTGAGCACCAAATAACGTATTCACAAATCGAATAAAAGACTGCTTGGGGAAAATTCTGATGTTTTCTCTTCCGCCTGTCCGGGGTAGAGTAAGCTTCGACAAACGTTGTCCAACGCCGCACTAAATCCACTATTTCCCGTGTAAGTCTTAGCTTTTCCCCCGATACTCAGAAGTCACGTCCGCTCTGACGGTGTAAACAACACATACGAGCAACCCAGGTGGACGGCATCGCATCGCAGCACCAGAATAATAACACGTCTCAAAAATTGTCATTTTCTAGGAGAACGATTATCCAACGCTTATTTCGCGCCCAGATAAACTATTTTACTTTACAGAAGAGCTGCCTTATGAACGATCTCTGACATGTTAACAAAAAAATAATATTTTCTAAACTTATTTCATCACTTAACTAAAAATTTACGATTTTTAGGTGTGTCTCGTTTTTATGAGACGACGGTATCTGGTTATTGATGATTCATACAAGTACAATCAGCTCTAAAAAAAACGTACCTTATAAATTCAACAAAAGCAATGCTAAACATAAACGGTAAAACACAATCATCCACTTCATCTACAAAATATAAGATTCCCGTCCCATATTGCAAGCACACAAATGTTCTTCTGGCATTATTTCATAATTACAATAATAGTAAAAATAATTCTTAAATTGACAAAAATTAATACCGTTTAAAAATTACGCAAAATTTAACGAGCGAGCTGATACAAATTGCCAAGACGATTACCAATAAGGGGAGAAAAGTTAGGGGGCTGGAGGCGTGGATGCGCGGGGCGGTCGCCGAGCCTGGCACCGCGCCAGCGGCCGGCGGCGTGCAGCTTACCCGTGGCGCAACGCCGAGCGGCACCACTGTAGCGTGAAGTGGCACAGGCGCAGGAAGGTTAGGGCCATGCCCCCGCCGGCCTCGCGCGAGGGCCTGGCGCACAGGGCGGCGTGCGGGCGGCAGAGGCCCTGGCGGCGGCGGCGGGCGGGCTGGGGCGCGCGCGGCGGCGCCGGCCCCGCGTTCATTCCGCCGCCCGGCCACCATGGGGGCGCCCCCCGCACGCGCCGCCCGCGGACGCTCGGAGACAGCAGCGCGCCCAGCTGACGCTCACCAGCAGTGGCGACGCCGCCCGCCCGCAGCTGCCGCGCCGGCGGCTGCGCGCCGCCTGACTGCGGTTTCCGACGCCGACGCCGGCACCGACCGACGTCGCCGCCACCGCCGAAGCCATAAGGTAGATCCGGCTTTGCGCTTGCGCCGCTGCGCCGCCGCACCTGTCCGCCCGCCGCCGCTAGGCGCGGCCCCCCACCCCGCGAAAGCGTCACACCGCGGCAGCCCGCTCAGGAAGCCGCTTTGCACGCCGGCGACCTCCCTGCGCGCGCCTCCTATGCCCCACTCGCCTGCCGGCCTCGAAGCGCCCTCCGCCCTCGCGCGCCCAGCACCGCGGCCTCTCCACCACCCTAGCCGATTCCACCCTGTCCTGTCACCATCCACCACCTTACAAGCCCTCGTCCTCATGCCATCACATCGCCCCCTCTCACCCATCGCCCCTCCCCTCGCCTCCTCCACCCCATCGCCCCCCTCCACCCATCGCCCCCCCTCCAACCATCGCCCCCTCCAACTCATCGCCCCCCTCCAACCCATCGCCCCCTCCAACCCATCGCCCCCCTCCAACCCATCGCCCCCCTCCAACCCATCGCCCCCCTCCAACCTCGCCCCTCCAACCCATCGCCCCCTCCCCCATCGCCCCCTCACCCCATCGCCCCTCACACCATCGCCCCCCTCCACCCCATCGCCCCTCCACCCATCGCCCCCACCCCATCCCCCCCACCCCATCGCCCCCTCCACCCACATCGCCCCCTCCACCCCATCGCCCCCTTCCACCCCATCGCCCCCTCCACCCCATCGCCCCCTTCCACCCATCGCCTTCACCCCTCGCCCCCTTCACCCCATCGCCCCCTTCACTCCATCGCCCCCTCCGCCTCAACGCCCCTCCGCACACACACACACACATGGTAATGCACGAGAGCCTTTATATCCTGGTATTGCTGGTGCTAAACATTTTCGAGGTATTTTGAATGATGCCTCAACTGTTCTCTGTACTCTGTCCTTTTTTATTCTGAAATGAACCAAAGTACGTTTATACAAATGACGTAGGTCTGATTTTCAGTACAACCTTTGCAATCAAACAATGGGTCACAATTTTGATTTTGTTAAGACGTGCTGAAGTTATTTTTAATATTTCGTACAGAGTATCATGACAATTCCCGGATATTTTGAAGATGTGGCAAAAACTTTTAAAGACGTTCTGAAGATTTTATAACAAATAGGACCACGTCTGAAATAACCCACAAACAGAAAAAGGCCTTTAACTCCTATTGAAAAGCTTTACGGTTTTATGCCTTAAGAGCATTTCACTTTGTGATTGAAATATATTTTCGTCACCCACTGTGTTCCGTTATGTGAAAATGGTTTCTTTCCCATTAAGCCTTACTGCGGTTATGTCCATGAGAAGTCGACGCTTCAGCAGTAAGACAGGGTATTATTCTTTTATTCTTTAGTTAACTTTCCTGGAGTCATATAGACAATTCACAATTTTGTCTCTAGGGCGAAATGAAATAGAACGCTACAGAAGTACAAAAATATATTCATCCCTAATTGCGTTAACAATATCAAATTGAAATATACTTATAAGAAATGTATCAACACAGGCCACGGAGTTCAACAGTCAATGCGGAACCGCATCGTAATCTGACAAAGAATCCAACCTCCGTATGAGGAAAAAATTAATGCATGTTCCTAGATGAATGTCACAAATAATGTGTTCCACAAAACCGTCGGTGCAAAGTAACGACAAGAGACGACAAATATATGAAGTTCTTAAAAATAGCAATCGTCAAGATTAATTTGACGAAGATAGGTGAAGTGGATGGATAGTGTTTCAAAGCACGATGTCAAGTAGATTACAGGATTAATTTAAAAAAACTGCTTAATTAATTCTCATTTATTATGTACTAATTATATTTTGTTGCAGGTTTTCTGCAACTTCTTATTACACGTATCAAAGAAGGAAAATCGTCAAGGAAGAAGACAATCCATCCCACTTGGTGCCAGTTATGATCTTTAAGTTTCAGATTACTTTTCACTGACGGTAGTGAATTGCCATTTGGTGTTTAGCGGTGGTATGATCCTGCGGTCATTTCATGTGGAAAGGCGAGTCATCCGGACTGGATAGACGTCTGAAGGGAAGAAAGCAAAGGAGTTATAGATTGAAAATAAAAAGTGATAGTGAATTCGAAGTATCTCCCACACGGCGTTGACGGAGATGTGCTGCCGGCGCTGCACACTCAGCGTGGGCGGAGAAGGGCCGTGGAAACGGGAACAGACGAAGTGCTGCTTATGCCCAAGAATCAGATTTCTACTTCGAAAAACAACACCAAAAACAATCGAGATTGCTAAGACAAAAAGCGTTCAATAAGTTAACTTCCTGAAAATGGCTTCTTTTCTGAAAAAATTCTATCACTGAAGGTGAAAAAAAATCAGCAGCTAGGCAACTCAGCCTTCGACGCGGCGTCACCCGGACAGCCCAGATCACCCACATGACTCTGGTCGCGGAAGCCTACGACTTCACTTCCTGAATATGAAATTGTATAAAGAATTATTTTACTTGTAACTCATTACTTTTCAATGCAGTTTCTATTGACTTCAACCCACTTAGATGATTTTTTTTCACCTTCAGTGATAGAATTTTTTCAGAAAAGAAACCTTTTGATTGCCCAGATACCCCATTACAGCTTCCTTAATTGCTTCATCGTCAGGGAATAGTCGATGATGCTGCCGACGTTTTCCATGTTTCGAAACGGAAAGTAGTCTCTAGGAGCCACATCTGGATTATCTGGAGAATGATTACGTTGTTCGAAGACACAGTTCAAAATTTATCTTTTTCTCGCGATGTTCGAAATCCCTCATTTTCTCTGTTGATCCGCACGGGCCTGCACTTTGCCCTACATCTCGCATCACGAGCTTGCCGCAGGCTGATTTGACTAAGGCCTAACCATACCAAGACTTGTCCCAACTTGTCTGTGCGCGCTCAGCTCTCCGACAATTCCGTCAGATACCGCGGTAGATAATGCTGTGGTCAGCTCATCGTACCTGGCGCGCGCGCAAGGATACTCGGCGCGCCGACGAGCTTCGTCTGGAAGCGGAGCGCCCCCCGCTCACGGGAGCCTAGAAGGCGAGGAGCCTCCCCAGGCCCCGGCAAACTTCTCCGTCAAAACCGGGACAAAGCCTCGAGATTGCTACTATAGGAAGCGCTTAGTGTTTCCGGTGCAGCTGCAGGTAGGCTCGCCAACTTTCCCCACGTACAAATTGAGTAATTTGTGAGAAATACGAAAAGTGTTCTTCTAAATTACAATTTATTCCATAACCTTTACTTATAAGAAACCTCTGAAGAAAGCGCAAACATAACGTTATTTTTGTAACATTATGGCCTGCTTGCGACCCGCGAACTCACGCAGCAGCCACGCACGTTGAATGTATCGTTGGCAGCAGATCGTGTTTTGTTCTGTAAAGAAGGTGATGCAGCAGAGCGCGCCACCGTAATGGTCCCTCACCACGGTATATGGGAGTTCTAGATCCCTGCCCCCCCCCTGCTCCAAGGGCGACGGGCCTCAGTCAAGACGGGGGCTCAGACAGCAGCTGGTGCACGGAGTCCGGTCAGGGGCTCAGCTGAGTGTACGAGAGTCAACACGGGGGTCAGCGCGCGGTTGGACCGCGACGAGACAGCAAGCCGCGCCAGAGGGCGCGCGGGAGGCCGCCGAGAGACGACTCCTCGGAGGGTAACGAGCAGATCGCTCGTTCCACGGAAGGCCCAAGCCTGGGGAGCGCGGTCAGAGCTAGCATTGCACCGACGCGCACGCAGGGCGCATTCGCGCCACAAGCACTCTCCAGAGTGGGAGTGGGACATTGTCGACTTCGAAGCTGTCTATTTGTAAAGTTCATGTGGAGTGAATAAAGTTTGTTACGTTGATCTACCTCTTTCATTTAATGAATACTTCAGATAACGTATTGATTCGTATGTTACAGGCTCGGTTCGAAGTACCGCGGAATCAAATCACGCCACGGGCATCGACGATCGATGGTGCTATATGGTATGGTAGAGCTCTCCCAACAACTACATGACGTCTTTGAACTATCATCCTTTCATAACAGTCTCATTGATGTGGAATATGGAGCATTTGCTGCCTTACATGGTCAAATTCGGCGTAGGGCATGCACGTTGCGTTTTCTGCGTAACCATAATGGTGCAATGTCATAAGTCCATATAGTCGCCACCATAATGCTGAACATAAGCATATGCAATTTTCAAGAATTCACAGATTTTTCTGTACTTTATTTCCAGATCTTCTTTTAAGGAACAGATTTCATTGTAACAATTGTATAATTTGCATTGACGTTTTTCCAATATAATTTTAGTTTGCAATTTTCGAAAGTACAGATATTTTGCCAAAATTGGGACTTGCCAAACATTTTTTACACGCCTAATGCTCTAACTGAAAATTGTTTTTACAGAAAATTGTTGCAGCCAGTTTTAAGAAATATTTTTATAAATTGCCTTTACATCAGGCACAAATTACGCCAAAACTACTAGATTTTTTAAACATCGACATAATCTTATTTTAAAATCTAATTTTAGAAGAGATTTTATTCAGAAAAATCTATCAATATTGCATTTTTGCTCTATTGTTCTCTTTGTAATATTTTTTCCATTTTTAACAATACAGAATGGTCACCAAAAACGGGATCTGCGCTAATTGTTAAAGCCACTAGTGCTTTATGCAATGGAGGAGGGAATAAAAGAAAAAATGGAAACTCCGGGTACGAGTTACCGAATTTTATTTCTTAATAACTGTCTAAACGAATCATCTTTCCTTGGCATATGATAGACAAAGAGTTATAATTCTTTTAAATATAATCAATAACTAAATTCCGAGGTAAACATTACTGGGTGTTGCAACAATGTATATAAATGCTTACTAAACACTAAAATAAATGTACAGAACTATTACAGTCAATTCCAATGCGTATTTAAAGTCATAGGTGAAAGGTTTAAAGGCGGGAAAATGGGAAAAATTGTGTTTATTTTCCCCAGCCCTACAATTACAAAAATCTTTTAAAAAACGCACAATAATTGGCCAACAATAATCAAATCATAAAAACCAACAATAATCAAACTATTAGACTTAAACTTGCAGGGGCACGATTTTGTCAAGACTGATCGAGGAATTTTGAAAATAAATATCGTTTGAATGGTTTAGGCGCTATCGCAATCTACGTACGGATGGATGTTTTGCCGTCAATCGAAATTTCGTTATCAAGTACCCCATAACGTGAATTCTGATTACACGAGTTAGATAAAGTAATTTAATACACACTTAAGGAAGAAAATTATCTACTGTTTTGGATACCAGGGCCCCACAATGGTGTTTTTTGGTGAAAAATTGCTAATTTCTGCCGCAGCAATACAGCACTCCCTCTTTACTATATAATATAGTAATGCGAGAAAGTAATAATTACTAATCTTACCAGAACCATCGTAATGATCATAGAGATACAGACCAAACAATGTCTACACCTGAACTTGCAATTATTACAAAGTTGAATAGAATAGAGTTCCTGACCTGAGTAATGAAGTTAAACTGGAATCGTGTGGTACTGACTTCAGCAATTCGTTAAAAGCTTTCTTATCATCAGTGGATAGTGCAGAGACGAGAAGAAAATGTGGCGAATGTCAGACCTCAAAAAATCTTTCTCTACTTTTATAGATGCGTGAAATGTATTTTCCTAGATTTATTTTTGGAAAATGTGTTGTTTCTCGAATTGAGATTATCAATGATATTCCCTAAAATAGAGAGGTTATCCGCTGAGTGTTTTTTGAATCGAATTTGCCTCGAATTCTTTTGGGAAAATGTTTCGTTCCTTCTATTAGAATTAACTATGATAAAACTCCCTAAAACCGAGAGGTGATTGGCAAAATGTTTTGGGTACGAGTTTAGTAAACTAGATCATATAAAGAGACAATTTAAATTTATGTCAGTGAGAAATTTCATTTTTTAAATTTATTTTGCGCGAACTTAATACGTTTAATGAACATTCTTAGACTGGTTCTATCAAACCAGTCTAAGGAGAGAAAAAATATTCCAATTTTACGATAGAAAACTATGTAAATTCCATATTTTGTGTCATTAAGTTGTTTTTAGTTTCTAAGTTCAATGTAACCTAGTTGAACATAGGATTGAGATACTGATTGTACTTCTCTCCCAAATGTTACAAAAGTTTTACTGTTCTTGGAAAAATAGATCAAATCATATAATACTGTTATAGTGAGACCTACCTGGTATGTGTGGGTCCTGAGGGGCACCGCGACCACGCATGATTTAAATGACGCAAATCAGGGCTTGTTCAGTAGCGCCGGAGTCGGCCGACCGTCTAGTTAGGGGAGGCCTTCCTAGGTCACGATGGGGTGGCTAGGGGAGGTGAACCGACATAGATTAAGATTTATTCAGTCAAAAAACAGTAAAAATTGTATGTGACGTAGGGGGGGGGGGAATTATCTGCGCACGTAATCAGCGGGCGAGAGGAATTCGGCCTTCGTGTATTATGTTGAAGAGCAAGCATCTTAGTCATACGAAGATAAAACGTAGCGAGGCTTTCGACAAGTGTATTTCTTGTACTACAAATGCGTGAAGCCGACTAAAATTCGTTAATAAGTAGGCTACAAGAATAAAATATTTTAGTGAAATGACCTCTAATCAGCACGCTGGGGCGAATTTAGTAACGATTTCTAGTTTCTTGAAATTACGAAGGATAGTTTGAGAACAAGCAAGATTATACGTGGAAGGAAACATAGCTAATCTGTTATCTCGCATGTCTGTTCAGCGGCGTTTGTTCCTGTTTTTGCAAAAAAAAATGTTAGAAAAACAAGAGAAGCCACTCCAGTGAACTAACTATTTTGTTAAATAAAACGCACAAACTGTTACTAATAATAATCACGAACATCATATTCGTGAAGGAAAGTTTGATCCTGAGCAGCTATTAGAACTGCTTCCGATTCTGGCTTCATTCTTCCCCTTTTAAGCCACATAAATGATTGATCTTTATTGATCTGCACCTTGTCCATTTTTTTTAGATATTTTACATGGAGAGGTTTGCTTTAACATTTATTTGATTTACATTTCATGTTTAGTAGCACCAGAAAGTTCACCGTCTGTGTTATTCTGCGTGTCGTGCATAGTTTTCTTTGCAAAGTTTCCTGCTACACTAACAATGCCTCTGTTTGTCATTCTTCGGTCAGATTTCATGACCTGCCTCATTAGAGGGTTATCTTGATGACTGACTACATACTTTCCCATCCCGACAATTGCAATGTGCCAGGAGGCTTGATATTGTCTGAGTCATCTTCCTCCATCCGTACGTAACACATAAAAGATGTGTACATCAGCTCGAAGATAGGCGACTAGATGTATTGTTAGCAGTTTTCTGGTCTTTTGATCCATGATTCGAATTTCTTGCTCAGTTCAGTCCACGAGTCCGAAACTGTGTTCGACTGCAGGCACCGCCAAACAACCAATTGCAGATATTTTTGTCCTGGCGTTCAGGGAGGACTGAAAAACAAGTCTCACTCTTCTGTAACACTCCCTACGAATTCTCTCTTTAATTGTGTCGTTCGTGAAGATCACACATGCTTCAGTGCCCAGATATTTGTAACTTTTTATTATTTTTTAAGTTATTATTACAATTATTATTTTATTACAATTTATGTGGTGCAGTGCAGTGAAGTGAAGTAATGCGTAAAAAAAACTTGCGCGGTGAAATTTTGTACTATTTATTATTAATTATGGTTTTTCATGAACTATTCTCTTGTAGTTTATTGTTAGTCAATGTAAGCTTAATTCATGTAAAGTTACGATATTCTGCCACCGAGTTGCTATAATTAATTGCAGAATTAATAATAAATCTAATCTAAAATTGTAAAGGAATGACACCAGAGCTGAAAACAATTTTTGGTTGAGTACTAAAACAAGTAATTACTTGGCAAGAGTAATTAGTGATCGAAGTGTGAATCACTTTATGATTACAAAGTATGTGTTTGTTTGAGGATGTAATAAATCTCGAGTTATTTGAAAAATAGAATAACTTTTTTTATCTATTACTGACTACCTCTGCTAAGACCCTTGTAGCCATCAGATTTCCAAACATTTCATTCATTTTTTAAAACATTTATTATTATTATTATTATTATTATTATTATTTTATGTGGCGAAGTACTGTAAAACTATCAACAAAGCTTATAAAAGTTAATTAAATATTCTGAAACTGCTACTTGTTTTAATGCGATTCATGTGCAAATAAATTTAACAGCCGTCTTAAAGTTCTATGTAAATTTACGAATGGATAATATAGAGTTTGTCAGACAGAAAAGGAACTGAAATATTTGCAACTTTAATACAATAAACATAATTAATTTCTCATTATAGTTTCCAGCCTTCAGAAGCCAATTGTAGTAGTGAACTATTAGAATATGAAACAAAATATTTTTTTCATTTAATATAGAATTATCAAACTGAAGAAAGATCATTGTGCAGATTGGGAGATATACAGAATTTTGAGGTAGAAGAAAAATATAAACTTGAAAGTTCGTTACATAAACAAGTTAATCAGAAACCTTCTCGAAAGGAAAATTTCAAAGCGCAGTCAAGGGGAAGTAAGAAAGAAAAAATAGAATTCTAAAGCCGTTTGGCAACACATGTGGGAATACAAAGGAATGTTAAAGTTAGACCGTCATCTAAATTTAACCGCACTTGTATTTCTATACAAAAGAGTATTTTTATCACACAAGAAGCGTATAATGAGAATGCATACTCTAATGAGATGGTTAGTATATTTTCAGTGAATAGCAGTCATTTTAATGAGTAGGTTTAGGCTTAGAATGTTTTCTTAGTCTCTCGTACTATTTTTATGCTATAATATAGTGAGCTGCTGGGTGCGGAGGGAGTAATTGCAATTTTTATGTTGCACGTTACAAATAAAAATACAATTCGTTAACTGCCGAATACGCAAAGTAATATTAATTTTTCCATTGAGGTAGTTGTGCAAACGTATTAATTTCAAATATTTAGGATAGTTGCCGAAATGAAACTACAGAAGATTCCCTTCAACTATCCGGTTCAACGTAGGAGGCTAGTGAATATCAACATTACTAATTACCGAACTGCACTGGTTGACGCCATCTTAACAGACGGACGCATCTGGTTGTGTTCTTAAATTTTTGTCACTTTATCTACTATTTTTGGTTATTTGATATATTTGGTGCGTTTAAGTGCCTTCATTACTTGTTGCAAGTTGACTGATTATACAATTTTGTCTGGTGTTTTGCTATTGCCAAGACAAACTAAAATATAACAAATTGTAAACTGTTACTGGCACATTAACCTTATTATCACATTAATTACTTATCATCAATTAACTGGAGATATACGAGTTGGTGCTAGTGTCAAAACCTATAAACAGGTCAATTTCTTTTCGATATTATATCACTGTGCTAATTTAATTACTGAAAGATTTTTGTTATATTTCTGTGAGGGGTGAAGACTTCGTTGATTTGAACTTCACGAGGACGGTGTATCGAACAGTTTTGAATTTGTTTTCCAAATTTAATTTATTCTATATTTTCGAGACAAATTTTCACATAATATTTTTTTATCTATCTACGGTATAGTCTACTGATTGTATTAAATAGTAGCTTAAGTGGACAACAATCTAGAGAACCACATTGCCAAATTTCATAAGTACTAGCTTTCAATCAATTTTGAAAACAAAGCACTTCCTATTCTAGTATCCAATCATGACTTTATAATTTATTACATACATATCAATCTTACACTTTTAAAATATTAAGCTGGCTGCTTGTTGCTCTTATCTGAGTTTCTTGTATTTATTCCAACTTTATCAAGTACATTAAAACGCATTGGTGACATGGCAACTAACGTTCTACTATTTTGTACTCTCTACACTCTCAAAGCCGACCATCTGAAGCCTTCATACAAATAAACAGTAATTTAGATCAACATATCCTGAGGTTGGAAGAGGTCATTCTCTATACAGACGGTTGGGTACAAGTCGGCAACACTGCGAATCTTCCCAACCCTGCACTCGTGACTGCACAAAAGATAAAACACCATATCCAATCGCAACTCAAAACAAAAATAGTGTTTTAGATTATGAAAGAGATTTTCCTCACCTTCCTGATTCTCAAAACCCTTCTCTGCCATCCACAAATACATGCACAAAGGCTAGGAAGCGCGTCAAAACCAAAACACGTAAAGCTGCGCATCTTACCCACTTGAAAACAAAGACATTCCTACTGAGCCTAAAAAACAAGTTCTTATTTTAGCTGACAGTAATGGCCGCCATCTTTCCTCCATTCTCAGTAGGAAGTTACCCTCCAACTACTCAGTCTCATCTATTTTTAAACCTAACGGGAGGTTTGCAGGCGTGACTGCAGAGTTGGACATCCACACAAAGACACTAACCAATTAGGACACAGTAGTTATCATAGGAGGGCAGAATGCTTTAATTTTGGCGGTAACTTTACACCTGAACAACATGTAAACAAATTACACTCCACTATACAGCGAGATTAGACCCGCAAATCAACAATTAAAGCTGCAACTGAGAGAAACAAATGTCACACTTTTTGAAATTAATTTCCTCTCAGCAAAACACTTCACCCGGCATGGTCTCCACATGAACCTTGCTGGAAAACATACAGTCGGCCACGAGCTTGCACAACACATCATCAACTCCAGTCCTACCCAGTCTCCTACCAAAAATCCATCCCCTGCACCTTCCTTACGTTCTCCACTCCCACCCTTTTTTCGAACTCGCTCACCTCCTCCTCCGATCCTTCTCACGTTTCTCCCACTACCAACTCTTCTACACCTAATGCCTCAGTTTCCTCACAACCTGTCACTGTTGGGACACACTACAACCTTCGACCACCCACTCAAGGTAAAAATGGAGTAAATATATAGCAACTACAGTCAGATGCAGAGTAGAAAAACATCCGTGTAGGTACGTGTAAAAGATAAACACACTGTACCATAATGTTCAATCCCTTTGCAATAAAGAAACCGTAAATACAACAATATTAGATATTTAAAGGTGATTTCGTAATAACAAATTGATAGTAAATGAAAAGATAACTGTATCAATGCAGTTCTCCATTGCAAATAAACAATTCGGTACTTTACTGAAAATGAACGGCGTGCCATTGACTGATGTTAAGGTAACCAAATTTTTAGGTCTTTCAATTCGGCCAAACCTTAAATAGAACGTCCATTTAAATGAATTTACCACTAAATGAAGTTCTTTATGCTACGTTTCCAGAATGCTTTCAAATTCAGTCTGGCTACACACTGCTCATTGTGTATATTTCACGAATGTTCATACCCGCGTGAGATGTGGTGTAATATTCTGGGGAAATACATCTTATAGCTCCCAGATTTTTAGATTACAAAAAACAATTGTATGAATAATAAGCAAATTCCACCCACGTGATTCTTGTATGCCTCTCTTATTAATCTAGGTATTTTACCATAACCTTGTTTCAATATATGAATCAGTGCTTTTTGTCAAAAATGACTTACTTAAGGGTGGAAACATATTTTCAGCAAACGCCGTAGTCTATAAAAACCACACACGACGTAGTAATCATATTCATCGGGTAACAGTATCAACAGCTGGGTACAAAAAATTCACGGAATTCAATTTTTGGAAGAGGACCTCAATGGGACTTGCTTCAAATAATATTTATGAGTTGCAACGAATATTCTCCACATAATTCCTGAGTAGCCTATTAGATTTCTTCTCTCAGAAATTGTAATGTCACCTGTAACGCCTGTCAGAGCCATTGTCTGTGCAGCCGATTTCGGGGTAACTGAAGACAGAAAATTCCTCGTAAAGAACAGTTCAAACCAAAGGTTTGAAAACCGAGTTCACTATTCACACGAATAGAAGAAGCTTCAATTACATCAGTAACATATCCAACAGGTTTACTTGTTGAAATCGTTTTGATCACATTTTTACGCCTTTTTTCTTCGCATTTAGGTCATTTTTGAAACGTTTTAAGAGCATTTTATTGATCATTTTTGGCGATGTTTTAGGTCATCAAAATTCGCCCCCTAATTATACGCATACTTTTTTCCTGCGATGGCACGTTATCACATACTTCATATTTCGCACGTACATTTTGTTTTCAAGGCATTATCTCCATTCATTTAGAGCTCGATTCATGCATTTCTGCGCCCCAGCGGGAGGCGGGTTCCAGAGGCCGGGCTTGACCCCAAAAACGCAGGCGCCTCTGTCAGCCAACCACAAGTGCGTAGGCGGCGCGTCTCCCAGGACCTCTCGTTGTCCTCGGCATTGTGTTGGCCGCGTGCAAATTGGTTCCAGAAGAATCCAAACCCGCCAATGTTTTGGCCATGGCATCCCCGCTCTTTCATGTCCCAACACAAAGCTCGCAGCAAGGGTTCGGTTTAATTAGAACGGGGTATTTCTCCGTCTGAATAGGCGGGTGTTCGCGCGCGACGTAAAATGCTCGTGCCTTTGTGCCCTTCAAGTCCTATTCTTAGCCACCAATGTGCACGAATATGCTCTAATATTAGCAGTAATGTGCATATTATATAAATGTATATTTAACGTGTACTATAACGCAAGTTAACGTTTTAACTTTCACTATAATTGAAACGTGCTAAATTGTTATCGATTTTCACTTCTTTTTGATCAAGTTAGAACGTTATTATTTGACCGTGGTATCCAATGCGAGCCAATTGTATTGTTTATACGAACATGATCCGCGCGTTGTGAGATTTTCCTTACACGTGCAAACGTTCGTTTTTACGTTCTTCTCAGGAGTACCTCGCCTGCCTTGCGCGGGATGGATCTGCAGTTCAGCGAAATCTTCAGAGATTGCTGCTTAAACCATTGTTATAGGTGCCGTTGCATTCAAAGTGAATAACCTGATACTTGTGACTCTACACGAGTGTGTGTGAATAAAGAAATATACCGAAGACCATATCCTTTTCCATTATCCTATTGGGTTATCATAGAGTAAACGTATAAACATCATCGCCACGAGTATAATCCCACCTTGTCATACAGTCCACTTTTAACTTGCATAAACGGGAAGCTAGACAACTATATTTCTAATTTCCTACGAGGAGGCATTGAAAGAAATCTATACAGCCTCCGGAGAAGGGAGAGGTCTCTATTGCTTCGTCAGATAACCAGGAACTCAAAAAATAACAGTTATGATTTTGACTGAAAAATCATATAACAATAGTGGTTTACGCAACAAGTATATAATGTTAAAGTTTATTACATGAATACCTATTTTTAAAACGTGTGACGTTAGGAGTGAGTTTTCAAATTTGTACGAATGCAATAAAGTAACATTGTAAATGAGTTGCATACCCGATTTTTTGTACAACAGCATTATGAATTTATAAGAGAATCTAACTTAATTTCGCAAAAAACTTTCTTGCGACGCTAAGCTATTTGACATCTGTGCGACAAAAGAATGGTCGGCTGTTCCGTTTACCCCCATTTCCCCATGATTCTCTCACTGCGATTGGCTGAAAGTGATATGACGCAATCGTTCATGCCGTAAGATGCTAATACGTCATCATTTATGCTATAAAATGCCCTATTATGAAAGATTCCTTGCAACAGAAAAGGTCGTTTATAATGCTGTTATACAAAACATACATCTAATACTCTGACACTGCAGCCTCCTGAGACTGTCGTCATGTCATGGGGTCCCAGCCTGACGGCCATGGACTCGGAAAACCTAAATTACCCGGCCGTGGTAATCAGGTCGCAACAACTTACTCTCCCTATACCACAGTCACGAGAAACATGCATATTGTGAACCAGCTCTATGACCTGGGATATCACTGAGAAATGCAAACAATTGTCCCACATATAGTTTTACAAATAATTATTCTCACAATCTCCATTCAGTCACGAACGCCATGATATTGGATAATAACCAAAATCAGTATGTGATTTTCCTTTGCAGACAGTTTTTATTGCATAGGAGCGAATATTTTCTTATCAACACTAAAAAACGCTAGATGTTATTTGTATTCATAATTAGGGTAGGGATCCCAGAGCTCGAGGGCCCGTGCGCAGATTACTGCCATACTACGTCACACAAGATTTTAATAGTTTTTTTTACGTAAAATAAATAAATAAATAAATAAATAAATAAATAAATAAATAAATAAATAAATAAATAAATAAATAAGTAAACAAATAAATAAACAAATAAACAAATAAGTTAACAAGTAAATAAACAAATAAATAAATAAATAAATAAATAAATAAATAAATAAATAAAATAAATGAAATCCCTTTAAGATATTCTCAAAACCTGTACGTTTGTTGTTTTGTAGCTCCAACAACGCTTTCATAGAAACAGCGACTCTTAGATTTAACCTCCAGCAAGATTACTTGTATACAGCAAAGCTGTAGCCGTGCACCTCCCATAATGTGCTTTTAAAGATGTGCCACAAGGTGCTCTGACGCAACTATTTCCTTACAACAATTGCCTACACGATGTGACAACTGCGTACAAAGTTGGGTCTACATGTATATGCGTTATCTTGGTGCCGTATCAAGACACTGGCATATTGCAAGTTCATTTTGCTGTTTTTGAAGGTTCATGAACATGATATCGCCTTTCAGTAAATCCCTGTAAGTCGGCGGTATGTCGGCGCCGTATTTCACCATTAGGCGGGGGAAGATCATTGCTACCTTCCTAGAAAATGCATGCACTACACTTACAGGACTAATGAACTTGGCAGTTGGTGCGCCCGGAATCATAAATCAAACTGAGCTCCGGAGCTTTTGGGAGCCGCGTGCAACGTGTGTAGGTTGTTCGAAGTCAGTTTGTCCCGGGAGCTATAATGCACAGCACAATGCACGAAGCTGGCGAGAGATGTATCCCACCTGTAGTCACGACGCCGGCGAAAGCACTGTGACGTGAAGCCTGACTGGGGGAGGAGAGAATGCAAATTTGTACGGACGCAATAAACCAACGTTATAAACGCGTTTTTTGTAGTCCAGCTTTATAAACGACCTTTTTACAGAAATCGTTCATAAAATGACATCTTACGGCACAGACGACGTATTTGCCGTTTATGGCACGAATTATAGCGTCAACACGCTTTCAACCAATGTCAGCGAGAGAATCGTGGGCGGTAGCTGTAAACCGAGCAGCCGACCACCGCTTTTCCGCAAAGATGTCAAATACGCGTGACGTCTCAATAAATTCGTTTCCAAAAAATAACTTTGATTTTCTCACAAGTGTATTGTGCTTTTATACAAAAAATAATATATGAACTCGTTGTTGCATTCGTACAAATTTGAAAACTCGTACCTTAACACGCTCGTTCTCAAAACATGCATTCATGCAATCAATTTTAACATTATAAACTAGAACCGTAACATATATTCCCAGATTATGAACGATTTCTTGTAACATAAAAGGTCATTTTCAATACAGTAATACAAACATTGTTATTTACGCCCCAATTGCATTAATGGGTTCCAAAGACCGAGCGGCGACAAAAAGGCCGAGGGCTTTTTGTCACCCAAGATCATTTGAGTCAGTTAGCACGCATAGTATATACAAGACTTTATATTTTACCTAATTTTAATGACAGGTATATTTATTTACTCATTAATAAGTTAACTAATTAGTTAATTTGTTTATTAATTAGTTACTAACTTTTACTTGTATCGATTTGTCATTCATATTTCCCTCCCATAATTCCCTCTCATAATTCATTTCATAAAAGAACATGTAGCATCATTTAACTGTTTTCATATTTCCCTCGTAACTACGATCCTCTTGTACATTATGCATGGTAGGTGGAGGCAAAGCTCCGCATGGGACAAACCGCCGCATGCGCTTTTTTCATTGACTGCCATTGTTCATGGAGCTCATCGCCGGGCAGCAGTTCGGTCTTAATATCAGCCAGGTGGTTATAGAAACGCGTGGAAGTAGCTTCGACAGTTGTTGAAATAATAGGGTACGTTCATTTTTTGAAGTTTTTGTGATATAATTGTGAAATTGATATATGTATGAAGGTGGTTGCAAGGAAAAGAATAAGCGATTTATCAGTTTACAGTACTAAAATCAAGCTTCAATACTGCAGGCGAACTTTTGCTTCATTTCGAAAACAATCATGATGTATTGACGTCTCCTTAAACATACAGAAATGGGGCAAAACCACGTAGTCTTTCTGGGACAAATCCCCGCACTCGGAAATGCGATATCCGCTCGGAAATATGCAGAGTATGCCAGCATTCTCGGAAATGTGCTAGAACTTGTACCAATTGAGGGAATTTGCCCCTTCGTTTTGTGAAAATGTATGCTGAATTTCGTACCATCATTCATGTACCTATAAATGTTTAACGAATCGGTAGGCACGATACTTATGATGTACCTACCATTGAGGTAGGTGGATATCTCTTTATTTATGTATCTATCCATTTCTTTTAGGTACCTATTGAGATTAGAAAAGAGAAGTATTGATAATTTTCATTGCATTATTATTTCATGGGTTCATTAGGCATTCTATTTCTTGTGACTCGACAAAAGGCAAACACAGTAAGGAAACGTGCCAAAGTTGGCTGAAGATTCTTGAGATACAGATGCCGTGTTCTCTGTACATGACAGCAGCACAGAATTCGGATTTCGGTAGTAAAGAGGAAAACGACGGCAAATATGAGATTGAGACCTCATAATGTGTATGGTTTTTGCTATTGCTTGCCAAATTATTATCATACACATAATTATTTCATGTGTTTCGCCAATATCTTTTACCGTTTTAATATTTATCGGGGCACAATCCCGCAGTGCGAGGAAATTCCCTATTTTGGGGGGCAAAACCCGCAAAAACTTATTTTTGAAACACCGAAATTTCTTAGCAACCACCGATCAGACACGAATGAGGGATCAGACCCGAGAGATCCCATTGTAAAATATCAATTGAAATTTGAAAAAATGTATTTATTATTTTTTTAAATAAAAACCCTAAAATGCGAGGCATTCTTCCCACCTACCCTTATTGTATATACAGATCCTTGTCGAAGTCATAAACAAGAAATGACGTATCAATAAAAACTTTAAAAATATACACGTACATTTTTCCAGAAATTTTTTGTCAAGGTCCACATCCCTTGCACGGGGCCCTGATTTTCTCTCTCGGCGGTTCTCTCTCGCACTGTGACGCAAAGGAAGTGGTGGCAACGCAGGCGGTGATGCGAATGGACACTGAGCGGATGGAGGCGCTCTCTTTCGGTGACACGCCAACACCTGGACGCGAAACAGCAGTGGTCAGAGGAAGAAAAACGCCTGACTCAGAAGCTGTTCCAGCGCTAAAATGTAACTATATTAGAAAACGATTGGATTGGAATATTTATAATGTAGCCCAAAATGCATTGGCCTTCGTGGATATTCACAAGAGCGTTAAATTAAAAACTTAAAGATGTTCCAAAGATGACAATGGGTTGAAGTTCTGTCCCATTTTGCCGAATGTATGACATCTAGATTTGCATATCAGGCCCCGTTGTTTTTAAATCACATTTTGATGCCACTGCAGTACCTCTGACCAGGAGTCTCTGGGTTCGAGTGCCGCCGCTGGCAGGATTCTGGACACAAATGGGTGGGTGAAGTTCTGTCGCTGTCTGGCGGAGAATTCTAGTGGCTGGCTTCTCTGATTCGTAGTTTTCCGTGGGTTCTCCGACCAATACCAGGCAAATGCCAGGGCAGTACTCTAACAAATGGACCACGGAACGCGCGCGATCTTTCCTTCCCATTCCGTGCCACTCCTACCTCGTATGTAGACGCATTTATCGATTCATGCACTACACTTCCACACATGCCGGGAGACCGATAGGGAGCTTAAAG